TCATGACATGGACTGCAATTCCCCACAAAGTAACAGCTCTCTTCCTACTTCCTCCGTGTAGATACCTCTTCTCTATGTCCTTTCTTATGCTTTCCTGCCCCTTGAGCTATCTTCCTATGAAAATACTGTCCTTCTGTTCTCCCATGCTTGATCATTCTAAGGAGGGTATCTACCCGATGTAAATGTTTGCCCTATATGTTTGTCTATTGTTTGGCTGAAAGCCATGGGAGTGAGTTCAATTCCAGACTTGATTGGCAACTAGGGGTCATAGTTTTGGGGTCACACCAGGCTCTACGAGACAAGTAAACCTGATCTTTTTTATGATTTTGAATTTTGTTCCACATTGTTCTCCCACTCTACCCAGGACGTGGCCCACTTTTGAACGCACTATTTGAAGTGTGGCACTGTCTAAAAAGGAATTGTACATAAAGATCTGAAGCTGAGTACAGATCTTGGTGTCAGTGCTGTTGGTTTATAGCTAAAAGGCAGGAAAAAAATGTGAGGGCCCAGGAATAGGCCATGTCATGAAAAAAAATGGCTAAGAACAAAGCTACAAGTCACAAACTAAGAAATGGATGAGAATGCTCTTTGTGACACATCACCCAATGGCTGATAAAGAGAATGGGCTTGTCTAATAATCAGCCTAGGTCACTGACCCTAAAATTTTTAGAAAATAAAATCTACATACACTTATCCAGGTCTTTAGCCATCCTTCCCACTACTTTCAAATTCCTGATAGTGAACACTATTGGGCATCAAGTGGCCACCAAGACTGTTAAAACTTCTCTCTTTCATTTTTCCACCATTTACACTCCTTAATTATCCCAACAACTGTACTGAAACTCTTCTCTCCAATGTCTCCAGTAAGGAAATGTTTCATTTTTTGGTGCTCATTCTCTTGTATCTTTCTATAATATTCAGCTCTCCTAACTAGTGTTAACTTTTCTTGAAATCCTATGTTTGCCTGGCAACACCATTCTAGGCCACTCTCCTGCCCATGAGCCAAGTGGCCCTCATTGTTTACTCCTGCCTCTAATCAGGTCTCATAGTGTCATAGTTAAGGTTGTGTGTCCACTTGGCTCTGCCTGGTTGAGTGGCTGGGCAGCTGGTGGTAGTTATTCCCCATGATGAGACTGGCAATCAACGCCATGGTGGGATCTACCACAAGCAGCTGAATAGCTACTTTTGGGATGTGGTCTGCTTCCCATATGTAAGAAGCAGCTTTGGGAATTATCTCTAGTTATGGCACACTTGAACCCAGCATGCAGCTGAGTCGTTCAGCAGCCTACTATGCTCTGCCGATCTAGGGACTTTCAGTGGACTTGAATCAATGGCCTGCCATGTGGTTTGGTAATACTGGGACTGTGCCTTTTTACTTGTCGACCTTAGGTGTGTTGGCCTCAGCAGCCAACAGCTGCCTGAGAGTAGAGATGCCTCTTGCTTCATTGGGCCGGGAGCAAGAGGCAGAGCTGAAGCCCAAGGTCGAGAGGCTTTCACCTAGCCCCTAGAGCCTGGTACTTTGAACTCAGACTTCTGGCCTCCAAAATTGTGAGAATAAACTCCTGTTTGTTAAAGCCATCTCATTTGTGGTATATTCTTGTCAGAGTGGCACTAGGTAACCAAAACACATAGCTACAGCTATGCCCCTCTGCTCTCTCTCTTGGAGAGCTCATCATTCTCCATGTCTGATCAGATGATTCTAATGATATTTCCACACCTGCCCCTCAAGCTGTCTTCCTTTGCATACACAGCCCTTCTACTCTGCCATGATTGATCTCTTCAAGGAGTATAAATGTTCAGCTCATATGCCTGTCTTTTCTCTGGCTGGAAGAACAGGCACAACTTCTTAAGTTCTGTTAATGACAATTATTGTTAATGTAATTATGGTTCCCCTTCTTCCTCAGGATGTTATGAATACACACATTACATCATAAAGTGACTGATGGGCATGCATTAATGTTGGTGAAACAATGTGATTAGGACAACACTATCATTTTCAAGAAAAGTTCCATTTTCTCCTTGATTCCAGGAAGAGATAGAGAAGGAAACAGAGTGTAGCTGAAGAGCAGAAATGATTTTAAAGCTATGCAAATTTGTATGTACCACAGCACATAGTGAACTGGAACAACTTTTTTAAAGGATCTTAAATTAAAGAAGTCAAATATTACTTGGAAAATACTCTTCTAGTCTATACATAATTTCAAGTGGTTTTCATTTTGTTTTAGTCTGTCATTTTATTCATTCAACACACTCATTGAGCAGTACTTTGTAAACAAAATGTGTGAGACACTACAATGAATGCAAACTGGCTTCCAATCCCAGGGGATTATCAACAGGGGCAAAAAAAAACACTACCAACTGTTACATATACTGGTGCAAATGTTTTTTTGTTGTTGTGAGCTGCTGTCAAGTAGGCCCCTGACTCACGGCAACCTTGTGCACAACAGAACCTGGTCCTGCCTCATACACGTGATCGGTTGTGGATCAGACCACTGTGATCCACTGGGTTTTCACTGGCTGACTTTTGGAAGTACACTGCCAGGCCTTTCTGTCTAGTTTGTCTTAGTCTGGAAGCTGTGCTAAAACCTGTTGCATGATAGCAACACACAAGCTTCCAGTGACAGACAGGTGGTGGCTGCACATAAGGTGCACTGACCAGGAATCAAACCTCGTCTTCCAGTGGAAGGTGAGAATTCTACTACTGAAACAACGCTGCCCCCTGACTTAACCTCAGACCCTGTGATTCCATTTCTATGCATTTACTGAAAAAAATCAAATAAAATGATATGTCTTCAGAGAGGTACTTATGAATAGAGTCAAACAGTGTCAATAAGTATGGGACTACAAAGATGAGTGAGATTTCTTTTCATGGAAGGCATTTGATTTGGGGGCAGAAATGTTATTAACAGTTTGTTGTTGTTAAGTGCTATTGACTAGTTTTTAATTCATAGCAATCTCACATGACAGTAGAACTGCCTCAGGGTCTTCTTGGCTGTAATCTTTACAGAAACAGATGTCCAGGTCTTTGTTCCATGGATCTGTTGGGGAGGTTCAAATGGCTAACTTATCAGTTAGCAGTCTAGGGCTTAACTGTTTGTGCCACCAGGGCTAGTAAGTATTAATTCATTTAATGCTCAGAGAAACCACACACACTAGGTACAATTACCTCCATTTTAAACATTCAAATATTCATTTTAGTCATGTTTCTAATGAAAGGCCAATTCAGGAATATGTCTATGAGTCAGACTTCATAGCTCTCAACTGCACTTGGAAGGCAAAATATGACAAGTGAAGAGTTGACAATAAAAAAAGGTAAGATAAAAATAATTGCTAAACAAAGGAAAGAAGTAACTCTCAGTCATGCCCAGCCCCCTCTACTACTCTAGTCTTCTATCCTGTATACCAGCTTTCCACTGACTCTCAGCATCAACTTGGCCAGGGTGGGAGTGTGGGAAGGTTCAGAAATTGGAGACAGGGCAGTTTTGGTTGTGAATGCCTGGAAAGAACCAGGGACAATAATAATAATAAAACCCAAACTCACTTCCGTCAAGTCAGTTCCAACTCATAGTAACCCCTCCTTGGATTTCCAAGGCAGTATCTCTACGGAAGTAGACTGCCCAATTGCCCAATCCTCTTTCTGAGGAATGGCTGATAGATTTGAACCACCAGCCTTCTGGTTAGCAGTCAAATATCTTAGGCACTGCACCACCAGAGCGCCTAATAATAATACAATAATGTCCAATAAAAAAAGTTTTCTATTCAGGTAACGTCCAAAAGAACAGAAATGCTAAAACGGACATCAGATTAATATCTATGTGGAATTGTGGCCTGTATATGTGAATATCACCTGAGAGTTCAAAAGGTGTCAGGGAGGTCACAGAAAATTCCCAAGAATTTCTTAGGAGAGAAGTAACAAAGGAAACAGATGGGACAGGCAGGTTAGTATCACAGAGCTCAAAATACAGACTCGCAATGGGGTCATGTACAACAGTGTGGCAAAGTCAGAGGTGATCAGGCCTAGTGAAAGGCCACTAAATCAGTATAGAAGGACATCCCAGGTGACCCAGTAAATGGATAGACAATTGGGGGTGAAGAAGGCTAGATCCCCCAGGCCCAGCATTTACAGTGAAATTGGAAAATAAGTGGAGATTTAAAAGAAAGCCCATCTAAGAATCAGGATTAAGTTATTTTTGTTTTCTTGTAATGTTCAAAGGAGCTTTGGTGGTGCACTGCCTGAGGCATTTGACTGCTAACTAGAAGGTTGGTGGTTCAAAACCACCAGCCACTCCGCAGAAGGAAGACTGGGTAAACTACTTCTGTAAAGATTTACCACCTCAGAAATCCAAAGGGGTTTGTTATGAGTCAGAATAGACTCAGTGGCAGTGAGTTTGGTTTGGTTTGAGCAATGTTCAAGTAAAGAGGGGTCATGAGAAGGAAAAGCTAGAGTTATGAAAAACTGCAAAGTAAGAAAAAGATTTAAGATTCAGAACAAAGAAAGAACTGGGAAATAAGTAGATTATGCTTTATTAATAAGAATGCTCATGTATAAAATGATCCTCCTAGATCCAGATTTGAGTGCTGACCTGCCTGATTTTGTGAAAGACAGCATATCATTAGAAGAGCCAAGATTCAGTCTGATAGCCAAGAGCTATCATCAGATGTTGAGGGCTTTAACCATCCAAATTATGAGTCCTTAGTCTCTAATATGGGAGCTCTGATACCATAGTGCCTAAGGCACTTGACTAACCAGAAGGCTTCAAACCCATCAGCCACTCCTCGGATGGAAGATGGGGCAATCTACTACCGTAGTGATACTGCCTCGGAAACCCAAGGAGGGGTCGCTATGAGTCGGGTCCAACTCGACAGCACATAACAACAACAACAACAGTCTCTAATACAAGAATCAAGTATTAACGTAGGGCAAGTTCCTAGAAAAATGCTCACACAAATTAAGCACAATAAACACCATCTGACCAGTCAGCAGTTGGAGCCTTACTTACCCATGGTGATATTCAGCTTCCTTTGTTTTAGCTCCTACAGCAGCCATGCTCTAACTATACAGGACACTAAGGGAAAAACATAACACAAAATAGGGTGAATCTACTCAACAAGAACCAAGGTCACAAGGATAATTAGCCAAGCAACACTAACAGGTAGAAATCTCTGTGCGATAATGAAATTCTTTACACATTTGCTTTGTTGTTGTTGTTGTTGTTAGACTGCCATTGAGTCAGTTTCAACTTATAGTAATTCTATGTGTGCAGAATAAAACTGTTCGATAGGATATTCAAGGCCATGACCTTTCAGCAGCAGATCACCGGGCCTCTGGGTGGGTTCAAGTCACCAATCTTTCAGCTAGTAGTTGAACACTTAAGCATTTCTACCACCCAGGCACTCCTATGATTACATTATATGTGTGTGTTTGTGTGTGGCCTTATACACACAAGGTTGCTGTTTTGGATTGAATTGTGACCCTAAAAATGTATGCTGAAGTCCTAACCCCTGTACCTGTGAAAGTGGCCTATTTTGGAGAAATAGTGCTATTCTTTGCAGATATTAAGTTACTAAAGTTATACTTAACTTCTCTTTTGGAATGGGAATGCTATGCTATGCTTGTACCCACATTGTCTTTGGAAGCAAATAACTAATATTCTAAGTTTCATAGCTTCACAAATGGAGAGGAATTTTACTCCAGGATGGAATACACCAAGGGTCTAACCCATATTTGATTTAGATGATTGATATTTTGGATTTAAGAGTGAATGCTGGACTGAATTAAGACTTAGGAAAGCTAAGATGGGTGGATACATTTTGCAAGTGAGTAGGACATGAATTTTGGAGACTACACAGAGTATTATTGACTGAATTGTGTCTCCCCAAAAGGTATGTTGAAGTCCTCATCCCTGCACTAATGAAAGTGACCTTGTCTGGGGAAATAAGATTTTTTTTTTTTTCAGATGTTAACAGTTAAAACTGCAAACAAAAAAATAAAAAATAAATAAAGTAACAGTAGAGTAGGGTGGGTCCTAATCCTAATCCGTTCTTGAGTGGCTTCTTACAGAAGAGGACATACAGGGAATAGTCACATGCAGAAGGAAGATAGCATGTAAGGATCTGTCCGTAGAGCAACGACAAGGATGCTAGCAGTCACCACAAGCAAGAAGAGAGGCATGGAATCATTCCTCCCTCAAAGCTCTGGAAAGAATTGACACAAATGGCTGACACCCAGATTTGGACTTATACCTCTAAAACTATATGACAATAAATTTTAAAGTCACCTTTGTTTTGTTATTTTATTATGGCAGCCTTGAGAAACTCAGTTTCTAATTTCAGAGAGAAGGAAAAAACAACAACAACAAAGACAAATGAGCCTGGAATCTCACACTTTTGTAAAACCACCTCCCCACATCCTTGTTTCCCAGCATAGAAAGAGTTATCCTTTATCTACCCAACAGACCACACTCAGAGCTGCACCTACCAGAGTCTTAATTATCTTTTTCAAGTTTCAAGGAGAGCTCAGGGAAGAGGTCAAGGCAGGCAAAGGAATCAAGACTGGGAGTGGCTGGGAAAATCAGTGAGGTAGAAAGAGAAGGATCAAGGTTGATTGATGTCAACTCACTGCCTTAGCTCTGTCCCACCATCAAGCCAAAGCCCAGTGAAAGAAAAATTTTATATGTGGGAGCTCTGCTAGCATAGTGGCTAAGGCACTTGACTGCTAACCAGAAGGCTGGCAGTTCAAACCCACCAGCCACTCCTCAGAAGGAAGATGGGGCAATCTACTTCGGTAGTGCTACTGCCTCAGAAACCCAAGACTATGAGTTGGGTCTGACTCAACAGCACATAACAACAACAACATAGCTCTGTTGGCCTAAGGCATTTGACTTAAACCCACCAGCTGTTCTGTGGAAGGAAGATGGTTTCTGTAAAGATGTACTGCCTCAGAAACCCAATGGGGGTCACCATGAGTCAGAATTGACTTAATGGCAGTGAGTTTGGTTTTAGCTTTGCATAGCTTCACAGTTAATTATTAAATTGGGGCTCAGGAATAATAATAATTGTTGCTTGCTTGTTGTTATATGCCGTTGAGTCAGAACTGACTCATAGCGACCCTTTCTTGGGTTTCCGAGGTGGTATCACTACAAAAGTAGATTGCCCAACCTTCCTTCCGAGAAGTGGCTGGTGGGTTTGAACCTCCAGCCTTCTGGTTAGCATTCAAGTAGCTCTCTATTTTTCTTTCGCCTGCTCCTTCCCTCTATGTGAATGGGAGTTACTTTAAGTTGTTCTTCTCCTTACACATTCCTTTGGGCATCTGGCTTAAACTTATTGTTCATTTCTATCTGATAATGGTGTGAGATGATCCTGAGAAAGGAGACACCAAGCCTGAAACCAAGATAAAGGAGAAAACAAAGACATCCCTGGTGGATCAAGAAGCTGAGAGTGCCCACTCCCACACTCTTCTTGTAGATTTAACTATTCTAGGCAGATATAGCAACTTGAAGGACACTTTCTCTCCTGACCAAGGACGGATTTCTATCACTGACTAGAAGAAGAACAGAGAGGTCACAAGGCAACAACAATTCATCCTGATAACAAGAAGAAAGCATTATTAATATTGCTCAAAATTTCTAGCCTTATTTCCCTTAGCCCAATTCCCTTTAAAGACCCTAACAATTTTCCTACTCGGGGAGACAGATTTTTTAGAGAAGCGATTCTCTCTGTCTCCTTGGGTATCAATACTCAAGGAATTCTTTTGCTTTTCCTGCTTCAACCTGTTGTGATCATTGGCTCTGCACAGGGGGTAAGAATATTGTTGTTACTACAACAAAAACACTAGAGTCCTACCAAGCAATAATCAAAAGGTTCCCTTTTTGGAGAAAATTAATGACTGTATTACCATAGTGCCTAAGGCATTAGACTGCTAACCAGAAGTCTGGCAGTTCAAACCCACCAGGCACTCCTCAGAAGGAAGGTTGGGCAATCTACTTCCATAGTGATACCACCTCGGAAACCCAAGGAGGGGTCACTATGAGTCGGATCTGACTCGATGGCAGCAGTGTTTACTGACCATTTTTAGTCTATTTTGAAAACCCATAGCCATCGAATAGATTCCAACCCATAGTATCCCTATAGGGCAGATGTCTGTCTCATGGAGTTTCCAAGGCTGTAAATCTTTACAGAAGCAGACTGCCTCATCTTTCTCCTGCAAAGCAGCTTTTGTGTTCAAACCTCTGACCTTTTAGTCAGCAGCAAATGCTTTAACCACTATACCACCAGAGCTCCTTATATTTAGAAGGACAGAGAAAATTAGAGTAGTTGAGTCCAGAGCAAATTGTACTGCAACTGATGACTCATCCTTCATCACTTGGCTTTTGCTCTTTCTCAGCATTTATAAAGTGCTTCTTTGAAAATGCCAGGTAAGGGAGCTAAGGAAGGGAATAAATTTTAAAGAAGTACTACCCCTCATCCTGTACCACCAAGAAGGCCAAATCCAAGCATAGTGCAAGGAAGGACAGAGGCAAAAAGGGGCTACTTCTCCTTATGTATATATGGAAAGAAGGAAGTGGGGAGCAGTTGGTGGGTAGTAAGAGCAATAGGTCCACTCTAAGACCTTATGAAAGTTTGTGAGCTTAAATTCTAAAGAATTTACTTTGCAGAAAGCTGCAGTCTATAGCTGAAGCCCTAATTGCATTTGAGTATGGATATAAGTTCATATGCCATTTGAGTTCTTTGTTACTTCCCCAATGCTTGGTGACCATTAAACTAACAATTCAGGCAAGCCCAAGGAGGGATGATAGCATGCCCTCAGGAAGAATGTGGTTGTAGGAAAATTAGCTAGTATTCAGAAAGGTTGTCATACAGAGAAATAGGGAATTTGCCTGGGCATCTCCTTTTTACCAAAGAACTTACCTGGCATAGCCTTAATGATTTACCAAAAATAGCCAGTCCTACGCAATTATGTACATATCCCAATCATGGTCCTTTCCCCGCCTCTGTAGTCTCACCTATGATAGTGATGAATTGACTTACCACCACTTGTGATCTTGTGATGACTTATTTTGTTCTCGATCATAATTAATGAACACCATGACTGTGATTCAGATTCCATTGCCCTCTGTACTGGGTACATGCTGATGGTTTCCCTCACCCAGATGATTCTTTGTTTCCATATTCTTAAGATTTAATAAAAGAGTCCTATTATGGGGAGCTCTGGTAGCATAGTGCCTAAGGCACTGGACTGCTAACCAGAAGGCTGACTGTTCAAACCCACCAGCCACTCCTCAGATGAAGATGGGGCAATCTACTTCCATAGTGATACTGCCTCAGAAATCCAAGGAGGGGTCGCTATGAGTTGGGTCTGACTCGACGGCACATAATAACAACAACAACAACATGTTATTATAGAATATTATTGAGTCTGATGTTTTTCCTCTAGCGCAAAAGAATCCTAGGCATAGACTCCTACTCATAATTTGGGGTCTTTTATAGCATCAAATATGTCACCCATTGGTCAGTTTGATGTACTCTAATGGCTTGTGTACTGCTATGATGCTGCTAGCTATACCAGTGATATTTCAAATACCAGCAGGATCATTCATAGGGGATAGGTTTCAGCAAAGCTTCCTGACTAAAACAGACTAGGAAGAAAGGCCTTTCTCTCTATTCCCAGAAATAAGGCAAAGAAAACTTTCTGGATCATAACCGAACATTGGGTGACTCCCTTGCATTGGATACACCATCAGCAAGTCATCTAGAAGGATTAATTGCTGGAGGAGACCATCATGTTTGGTGAAGAAAGAGTGAATAAGAGTGAAGAAAACCCTTGGTGAGATGGATTGGCATAATAGCCACAACAATGGATTTGAACATGTCAGCAATCTGAGAAAGACACAGGATCAGGCAATGTTATCTTCTGTTGTGTATAAGGTCTCCATGAGTTGGAGCTGACCCCAAGGCTATCATCTATCTATGTATCTATCTATAGCATTCAGTAAGCAGATTTACACAGAGCTGCTTTGTAGAAGTCAGACTTTCAGGAAGGAAACTACC